CAGGCGGAGTCAACCGATCCTCTGTTGGGTCTATCGGTAGTGCTGGGGAGAATGCAAACAATGGAGGCATAAGTTCTGGACAAGCGCCTCCGCTTTTCGATCCAATTGGCTTCATCGGACCTAGCCGACAGTATGCGGCTGCGAGTTCTAGTTCAAGTAATTCATTTTCTGATGGGGAATAAGATCAATGCTCCCAACTATGCCCTAATTTCATGCCTGCTTTAGTCATATATCTAGAGCATAGTTAGTATTGTTGTGGAGACTTTCATTTCACATGGAAATGCATGTTGAAGAGATTCAGAGGTCGATTTGACCAGAAGGCGACCTCTAATTCCTGTTTTGCAACCATTGAGTTTTAATACATCATTCAGGTTGACGCAGTACACGAGGCATCCTCATTCTTGCGAAAGCCTTAGATTAATGCTAATTTAAAGATAGTATTCTGCTTTATCCAACATGCTATAAATATTCATGACGAAAAACAAACTATATAGGTATATATAGGGTACTTATACTTTAATAAGTGTTATATGAGTGAAGGTGTAGGTGTGTGTTAACATCTGTATGTGTGTAAGTCAGAATAGGCAATATCGGTCATAACTTTAAATAATAGCTAAAGTGCCTAATGTCAATTGTGAGGCTTAATCACCCAAGAAAAAGCACGACCGATGTTGCCTAAGCCTGAGAGCACGTCTGATTCAAATAATTAGATGTAAATCTCGTCGAACCTTTGCTTTGTGTTTAGCCACTTTTTACCGTCTATATCAACTCTCTACCTTGATTTTTGCTTTCCTCTATTCTTTGGCAAATAGGCCGACAACTCTCACTAACATTACATGAACACAAAACTTCGTAACAACCGGATCTTGCTAATGGGTCATATTTTTCTCTGAAAGGACATAATTTAGGCTAGTGTCATGATAACAAGATTAGGATATGAGTAGAGGTCTCCGGTGAAAATGTTTGAGCCTTCTCAAATCTTCAGTCAAATTATTTCCATCAACAAGCCTCATACTCTATTAATAATTAACTTCTAATCTTAGTTTTCTAACTATGGTTAAGAAATACATTTCGGAATAGAACAGACCAGCATATACTGGTCTCCAATAAGCACTTCTGCTTGACTTACAATCTTCCCTAATAACCAAGGTATTCAGAAAGGCTAAACTTTTATTCTTTCCTAATTCCATTGTGAGCTTAGTATTTTTATTTCTCGCCGGTTAAGGGGAAGTAGGAAGCTATCGAATCTTTTTTTACCATCATGTTAAATGACATAATAGTCATCTATTTATTGTTATTACCTCTCCTGTTGAGTTTTCATTAAACTTTGTCATGTAGTTATTCGCCTAAATTAGAGTTAAACAAGAGCCCATCGCGAGTTCTTGTGCCTGTTCAAAGAACTTATCGTCAATTTCGAAATAGGTACCACTACTGGCTAGGTTAATACTCCTCAGAATGGAGGCAATACTTAGCTTTATTTCTTCTACAATCTCTGAATGCTCCTCTGGGGTGAGCACTAAAGCCAAAATGGCTCTTAATTGGGATTTTAGCCTACATACCAACTACCTCTAAATATGCTAGTATATATTTTCTGTAAATTATCCACTGAACCACCAATTTTACGAATTCATGCGAGTTTTTAACTGAATATAGCCGAAATTCGACTACTTTCCCAGATTGTCTACATCAAAAGCATGAAATTTTATGTTTAACGCTTCTTTTATTACTCACAATTAATCTAAGAAGCGGATGCAATTGTGACCGAACAGTTGCATCCTCCCCTAAACCACGCATACCTTTGATCATGCAATGCTACCGTATGTGACGACGCTCCAATGCACACGTATTGTGTGAATACATTGCTCTTGAAATGAGTGCGATGTTAGAGTCAAAACCAGATTCGAGCATAATCAAGCCTCCCTCTTCGCTCGGTGATACTTCTCGTCCCCTATCCTCTCCTTAATCCTATCCAACAACCACAAGTAGTTTCCTACATTCATTCCTTATATTCAGGGTGTTGACTGCTTGTTGATTTCTACTGCTTACTGGTATAGTACCCATTTCCAGCCAAACGTTTAGCAGTAGACCAGACTATCTGTTGTCCTGTGCGAGCCATGTGTTTAGCCAATTCCGATTTTTGGATCCACAGACGCTTGCGGTCTGTTTTGTGTCAGATAATCTCTTAGGTATGGGCCTACATGTCTCTTCTACATGGAGACTAGATAAAAGATTAGACCACTCTAACAGAGTCCTTATACTGCCCTCGTGTACTCTTTCGAAGAGGGTAGGTGAATTACTGTGGAGCATCAAGACTATTTATAAAGAGAAAATAACACTTTCCCCGGCATTGCCTTTTTTCGAGAATACATCGACCCCTTCTCCAGATGGGGTTGTTACAAGATTTTGTGTTCATGCGCTAACGACTATATGGGAAAGACATGTAGGCCGATATGTAAGAGGTTATCTGAACACAAAACAGACTGCGAGGGTGTGTGGGTCCAAAAATCGGAATTGGCTGAACACATTACTCGCACAGGACACCAGATAGACTGGGCTACTGCTAAACGTTTGGCTGGAAATGGGTACTATACCAGTAAGCAGTAGAAATCAATAACACTCTGAATAGAAGGAATGAATGTAGGAAACTACTTGTGGTTGTTGGATAGGATTAGGGAGATAGGGTAGGGAACGAGAAGTATCACCGAGCAAAGGGAGGAGGCTTGATTATACTCCAATCTGGTCTTGACTCACACACTCATTTCAGGAGCAATGCATTCACACAATACGTGTGTATTGGAACGTCGTCACATACGGTAGCATTGCATGATCAAAGGTATGAGTGTTTTAGGGGAGGATGCAACTGTTCGGTAACAATTGCATCCATTTCACGCAGCTACTTAATTTCACTTAAGATTTGAGCAAACATTTAGGCAAAGCATAGGATATTCAACCAAAACATGAGATGTCTAAGTGGATCAAATTGGACTATAAGAAGTAGGTAGGATTAAAGCCAGCCACCTTTCTTGTCTTCGTGCTTTGGTGATTTATCGTTAAGCATGATGTCCTGCTCTGACGATGTCCGTCACATGACGGATGAAAGCTCAACAAGGATTCATCGGGGAGGGGGGGGCAAGGTGGTGCGCCGAGGACCTATTCGCATAAATCTACGATCACAGCTCCAAGGAAATCCCCT